AATTCAGCTCAATCATCATCCTACCATAAAATATTTTAAGGAGACCAGTCACAGAATGATAGCATTTCACATGACTAGGATTCACGTATATATAACTTTGTAATAAATGAAGAACACTTACAGCAAATAGATTGCAAGGGGATGATACAAGACAAACATCTATACATAAATAATGCTGAGTATGTCAGGTAAATACATGCTAGAACTAGGTACATTTTTTTTTAATCAGTTTGACCCTAAATAGATGTAAGCAACATGCTCTCCTCAAACAAATCAGCTAAACAAATCAACGGCTTTCATATAAATAAAATAGAAGTCCCAGATTAGCTTAAAAACAGGCTAAAACAAGTTCCTAGAAGTAGGTAGTGTTTATCTTGGAATGCTGAAGGGGACTTGCATTGGCAATCATGAGGGACTAACTGGACATAGGGTGGGAAAGGATGTCCATAGATTACATACTGACTAAGGTAGTGCTTGCATTCAACTAAAGGTGTCAGAGCACATGAGAAGTTCAGTCCCCAGTAAAGCAAAGAAATCTATTATCAATAATTAATTTGGCAATTATCTGTATAATAAGGGTATAAAAAAATTAACAAGAATTTTCCTGGAAAGAGAGACTTCAGTTATAAGATTGGATTGGCAAAACTGACACTTATTGAAAAAGAGATGGTTGAGAGAGTTATTACAGGTGGTTAAAATCATGAGGGGTCTGGATAGAGTAGTGATGGAGAAACCATTCTCATTTACAGAAAGATTGAGAACCGGGAACACTTATTTAAGGTGAGTCACAAAAGGAACCAACAGTAACCTGAGAAAAAACACTTCTTACACCAAGACTAGTTATGATGCAGAATGCAAAGCCCAAGAATGTCAGGGAGGTGGACATAATTGTGACATTCAAAAAGGAATTGGATCATTATCTGCAAAACAATTTGCTGGACCACGGGGCAAAGGCAGGGGAATGTTACTGGCTCAGCTGCATGGACACTGCAGGCCCAATGGCTTCCTTTTGTGTTGGAACAATTCTACCATTGTATAAAAACTAAATAAGCAGCAATCAACATGGATTTCTCAGAGGAAAATCCTTACAAATTAACTTCCTTGACTTACTGGAGGAAGTGACAACTCAAGTATTCTGCATTAAACAAGACAATACCTATAACTATGTTCAGCACAAAAGTTAATTACAACATATTCAGAAATGTGTCGGTCTTGTGCGATGACAGCTGTACCTAGAAAAGTTCCAGAATGCAGTACAGTCAGATTGTGCATCAAAAAGGGAAAAGAAATTAGGCTATCCCATCTATTCAAAGGCTAATTTCAGATAGATGTAAGTAAAATTGTAAAATAGTATTTTTAGCCATGAATTGGAATATTTGTTTTGACTGTAATCAGGGGGATAAGCTGTGATATTCCAGTAGAAGGTGGACAACCTCCAAGTAATGAGCAGAGGGGATGAGACACCAGACATGCAGGAAAGTGGGGTGTGCATTTCTTTCTCGCCAAACTGTGTGTTAGAGCTTATTTGAAAGTTCTGGCAATGAGGCATTTTTCCAATGATTTTGATAGTCTGCTCAGGGAACCATCCAACAGGACCTACCACCTCCTTTTCTGCAGGGCTTAAAGGACATTATACATGGATCACTAAAATAAAACCAAGAACTGCAGTTGCTGGAAAGCTGAAACAAGAACAGAAATTGGAGGAGAATCTCAACAGGTTGAAGGGTCACTAGTCCCAATACATTGACTCTGCTTTCTCTGCATAGAGGTTTTGAAGTTAGATGCCTCAACTACCCTCCTTGGCAGTGCATTTTAGACCTAGATCACCCTCTGGGTGGGGGAGCAACTTATCTATCTAACCTGTCCATACCCCGCATGATCTTATTCACCTCTATCAGGTTCCTTTTCAAACTTCTCTGCTCCAAACAACCCAAGCTTATCCAACATCTCTTCACAGCTAAGATGATCCAACCCAGGCAACATGTGGTGAATCTGTTCTGTCCCATCTCTAGTGCAATTGAATCCTTCTTACAGTGCAGTAAACTATGAAGGGAAAATGGCCATTGAGCCAACTGAGCTAGGGCACCAGGGAATTGGCAAACCAAAGTTTTCCACAAGTTGTTCTGGGGATGTCTGAAAATGTGCCACTAGCACCAGCCAGATCTCATCAATACCAGACCTAACATCCACAACAGCTTCATGATAAGTTCTAACTATCAAATACTAAGTGTAACCGTGACAACTCTGGCATGTAGCAAGATCACAGAAACGAAAGCCAAGGAAACTTTACCATACCAAATAGAAAAGTTGTCTTCAAATGAAACTTTGTGTATCACTGATACAGTCAAGACCCAGAAGTTGATCAATACCACTTATCAGGCTCTTTCAGACAACAATGTCCAAGGGTCAAAGTAGGATTATCTGTCCAACACCGTTTATAACTCTGCACTCACTGCATATGGGAAAATAGATCAGAGAAATGCTGACTAATTGAATTGAAAAGCACCAGTTACTGCAACCAAGAAAATAGCCCTCATGAACGACAAGCAAGTTGGAGACAAAATCTAAATGATCTTAGAGCAGCCAGAATCAAGTCTGAGCAGGATTTTGGCACTGTGCTAATTAATACTCTGAAACTCTGCATAAGTGTATAATCTGCTACTGGATCTGGAGACACTAGAGACATGCATGAATGAATCAAGAAAGCAACAGGGCCAGGAACAACAAATCAACTTCCTTGAACACAAAGACAGGGCAGATCATCATTGAACTTGGCAAGCATGTAGAAAGGTAGGTGAAGGACTATCTCAAACTCTTATACAATCCAGAACACTGTCACTGCAAAAGCTCTCAGCACCATTCCAGATTTTTCTGTCAGAGATGCTGGACAACAAACTCACCATCGAAGAGTTTAACAGGGCCATTGACTTTCTTGGCAGCAGTAAAGCTCCAGGAAGTCATTTCATTCCACCTGCTGTTATCAAACGTAAAAAACCAGTACTGCTGCAGGACCTCTATGAAATGTATCTCTGCTGGAAAGAAAGAGTTCTGTCTCAAGACATGCATTAATACAAAATAGTCTAGGTCAAAAACAAGAAGAATTGTCCTGAGTGCACCAATTACCAAGGCATCTCCTCGTTAAATATTGTGGCAAAGATCATTATTGCGGCCAGCTTGCTGACTCTGACATCACATATCTAAACTGGGTCTCACTGTGGCTTCAGAGCTGGCAGATCAATAGGTAACACGATTTTCTGTCTTAGGCAGTTGCAGAATAAGTGCTCCGAAAGTGCAGATCACTCTAAACTGATTTCACAGACCTCATCAAGACCTTCAACTTAGTCAACAAAGACAAAGATTCTTAAACTGCAGAAAATTGACTTCTTGGACTCCTTAATTTCTTTCCACAAGAACGTACACACATTTGTCAGTTACAGTGGAGCATTGTTTGGGCTTTCAAGATCAGCAGCACAGTAAAACAGAACTGCATCCTGATACCAACTCTCTTTAATATGTTTTCCTCCATGCTACATATTGTACGCTTTCGCTACTCAAATGAGGATGTCTATCTGCGTGCCAGAGCAGATTGTCTGAATTGACAAGCCTACATGCCAATCCCAAAGTGCATAACATCCTAGTTCACGAATTGCTGTTTGTTGATGATGCCTCATTAGCATCCCATCCTGAAGTTAGCTCCAACAGTTTATAAATTGGCTCCCCCAGACACTGCAGAGGGGTTGGATTATAACCTGCATCAGGAAGGTCAAAATTATGCATAGACTCCATCGTCCATCAATATTGACTTCCTCACTTTCGAGATCAGCAACAGCTTCACCTACCTTGAATCAACAATTACCAGCAACCAACGTTTTGATTTCCTCCGAAGTCAATACCAAAATTCCCAAGGCCATCGCTGTCATAAACTGTGAAGTCAACTGTGGAACTAAGAGAAAAGTAATTTGAAGTACAGTCTCACTTGGCTTTTCAGTAATGAGGTATGGACAATATGTGCAAGCGAAGAAAAGCCATAGAACAGCTTTCTTCTCTGCAATTTTAGACAAATTTTGGGCATGTCTTTACCAAGACAATGCCAAACACAACAACAAGATGCTAGGATCCTCAGCATGTGTCCCCTCTTAGTTTGCTGGGTCACCTGAACCGAACGAATGGAACTTCATTTGCACAGACAAACTTTCGGCGAGTTTGCTATCTGCGTGAAACAACTGGACACCCACATCAGCGAAACAAAGACGTCAACCTACAAGACCCTAAGTTGTCAGGGATCGGAGTAAGCCGAAAGAACTGCAGATGCTTTAAATCAGAAACAAAAACAGAAATTGTTGGAAAAGCTCGGCAGGTCTGGCAGCATCTGTGCAGAGAAATCAGAGTTGACCTTTCGGGTCGAGTGACCCTTCCTCAGAACGATTTTTGTTTCGGAATAAGAAAAGTTGTAAAGACCATGGAAAAAGCAGAGGACAAAACAACTGACCAAATGATACAGAAATGATACTGTCTGAAGGAAAACAAATCTGTACGAAAGTGAAATGTTGCAGATGCTGGAAGTCTAAAACAAGAACGAAACGATTGGAAAAACTCCACAGTTGAGAGAGAGCTTGAAACGGAAAAACAGAAAGCGAGAAACAGAATGCGTGAGAGAGACAGCACAGTATTATAGAAAAAGAGAATGAAGCAGGGAGATAAAGAAGGGACATTAGGCAGAGTCCGAGAAAGTGTGCGTTTGTGGAAAAGAGCATGTGGGAAACGGAGGAGTATGTTCTGTTTTTGGTTACAATATTCAGCCTGAGCCAATGAGAAGCGAGTCTTTGTCGTCGGAGGGGACAACCAATAGCGATTGTGATGTAGAGACCAAGGCCAATGGGTGGATAGAAATGTGTCGAAATGAGCCAATGGAAGGGCGGATGCGCGGTGGGATGAGCCAATAGGTGAGTGGATGTCAGGAGAGATGGGCCAATGGGAGGAAGGTGTCGGGTAAGTGGGTGCCAATGTGTGGAGTGGCTGGGTGTGGAGTTCTACCTCTTGTGACGTCAGGAGCGTGCCGTTTCGAGTGGGACGCAGGCGCAGAGGTAGAGGGGAAGCAGACGGAGGGAGAAGCCGCGGTTGGCGAGAGGAAGAGGAAGCGGCGTTGGACGGAGCCGGTAATAGTAGCTGATCGGACTCCCCGGAACACAGCCTTCAAGCTCAGGGAGGAGGGGAAAGAGAGATTTAAAAAGCCGACAAATATTCACCGGCCACTTCCTACCAGCATACATAGACACACCAGGTAAGGCGGACCGAGCTTTCCCCGTGACTTGAGCGGGTGGTTCCGCGTTTGGGACGCGGGCGGGTGGCGAGGGGAAGCAGGCAAACCGGGCGGTTGGGCAACACATTATCGGGAAAAGAGAGAGCGGCTCCCGAGCACATTGTGGGCCTCGGTTGACTCGTGCTTCCCTGGTCGGCGGTAACGGTAAATGATGGGCTTCCGCCGTGGATCCCGGCGACGCGTCTGAAGTTTGTCGGCGAAGTCGTTGTTGTGCCGGTGTTGGATTCGACCGCTCGCAGCTAATCCATGTACTTTGTAATTATTAAGAGTGTGTGTTTCTCTTTCTCTTTGACTCCTCCGGTACTGCTTGGCGTCTCTTGAATCCCTCTCCGCCAGCGCTGTGCCTGCCCGAGGGAGGGGATGCCGCTTCTCCATCGCAAACCGTTCGTCAGACAAAAACCCCCGGCCGACCTGAAGCCGGACGAAGAAGTTTTCTACTGTCGGATGACCATCGAGATCTTCAGGAATTACGAGTGAGTTGGTGTTTGGCGACGGGGCTTTGGGAATGGGTCCGCTGAACTTCCCCTGCCGCCGAGGCGGCACAAGGGCGCACTCCCTCATTTTCGTTCAAATCGGCAAATTATGATTCGAAAGCAACGTTAACGGCTCCGGGTTTCTCTCCCGGGCTTTGGCGGCGGGCGGGGGAAGGAGGACTTTGGTTGCCTTCCTCCTTACCCACTCCGGTCCACACAATCTGTTCCCTCCCCCCGTGCCCGTGTGGCGGGCTGTCAAATAACTAATAACTAACTCGTGCCGAATGCGGACTGGAGTAGGCCTTGTGCTGCTGGATAATGTAAATTTATTCAGACACCCCCGGCCGCTGGCATTTTTTTTTGCCTCGCACACATGCTCGATCCGAGATGTTCCCGTTTACGTCACTTGTATAAACTGTTTTTGGGGGTGTCCGGAGGATGTCGCCTCTATTATTCCCTCGTTTTTTATTTCTCTGTCTGGTTTTGATTTTAATAAGCATCCCCACAGCCAGGATACGACTTGAGTTTCGTGCGCGACGTGCACGAGAGCGTGGGCTGTTTTGATGCTTATCCGAACATTGTCTCTTTTGTACACGGAGTCAGTAATGGGCCTGGTTTGGAGAAACCGAGCCTGTTTAATTATAAGCATCATAGGCGTACGGAATTTGAAGATATCTTCGCACTTTTTGTTAGTCTAATGACGAATTCATTCGTGGTTATCTTCTTGCTTTAACTTTTCAAAACACTATATAAGCGGATTGCAGCTACCTCAAGTGTAATGGAAAAGCACTCCGAGAGCGAGGTGACTGAAACGATTACAAGGCAGTCACTTAATGGAACGCGTTACAAACTGTGGGAATAACTGAATTACCCAATGCTGGAATACATTAAAATCGCCACATATTTCCAAGCAATAAATTTTGCCTAATGTTAATGAACACCACCGTTCGTTGTTTGTGATGCTCTTGAAATATTATTGGTTACCGAAATTATTTCTGAGCATTTTAATTCATTAATATGGTGTGAGCGTTGCTGATAAAGCCAGCATTTAAATTTCTCATACCACAAAGGGTTCATATGGTGTAGGTACATGCCAAGTGTCATTAGGAGGTTCCAGGATTTGGATCACTTGCTATATTTTAAAAAAAAATACATGGTGGAGCTGGAGGACCCTGACTTAAAGTCCTGAGGAAGGGTCCCAACCCAAAATGTCGACTTTCGTGCTCCTCTGCTGCCTGACCTGCTGTGCTGCTCCAGCTCAACACTGTATGACTGACTTCTAGCATCTGCAGTTCTTGCTATCTCCTATACAGTAAGGTGTGTTGCTTAGAGTGGGGACAGGGTTTGGAATCTTGATGGTCTTTGTACCACCTAGAAGAGTGGCAGATTGGTAGCGTCTGTGCATTTGGAAGTTTCAGTCAAAGGCAGTGTGATTCATTGCTGTGATGTATCTTGTACATGAAGCACATGGCTACATCTGAGCATTAGCGGTGGATGGGTTCCTTTGTCCAGTATGATATTGAACTACTTGTTGGAGCTGCACTCGTCTAGACAAGTGACAAGTATTCTTTCTCATTCCTGATTTGCATCCTGCAAATAGGAAGTTGGGTGAGTTACTCCCTGCAGGCCTCTGTCTTTGACCTCTCGTTTATATGGCTAGTCTGATGGGGAAGTAAACTTTAGCCTTTAGTTTAGCCTTACCTTTTGGTGTTAATGCTTTGCTGGTGGAAAGAATTGAGAAATTTTTCAAAAATATAAACGTATTAGTATACCTGCCACTTGGTGTGTGCACTTAATCAATATGAATATCCGGTGTTCATGGAGGCAGGTTGTCACACGAAATAATACAATGGACACCACATGCCACGACACACTGTATAGCTTGCTGTGCATGTTTTCTATATCTAACGTTGCTCCACAATGAAGGGAAAAATGAGTTTGTGCCTGTAATTCTCTCCATGGATGGTATCCTTGTCACATTCAATCAGTGTATACTGATTGAAGGCCACCACAGCGCTTAGATTTCATGTCCTGAAGTAAATCACTTTAATCTTGGTTGAGTAAGCTGTGGAGACATCGAATAAACTAAATTAATCTTCAGGGTGTCGCAAGTTAATTCACTGTAATGTGCAGAGAAATAACAGTATTTTATGGACCTGATGTTTCTGGAAGTACCATTGAAGTTTAAAAAGTCTTGTGCTTGATGTATTTTCTGTCACTGCTGAGATAAAGCATTTTCGAAATCGTGCTTAGCTCTTGGTAATTGTGCAATGTAAATACATTTTTGTTTCTGATGCTTTATAAATGTAGATTGAATATAAAAGCAGTAATTGTTTTAAAACTTCATTTAATTTGAGGAATTGTAGCTTTCTGGAACAGCAGCTTTTTTTATATATGAAGTAAAAGACAACCTGCCTCCATTGTTAAGTGGAGAAGGAAGCCGTTTGGCCCATCATGTCTGCACCAGCTCTCAAAAGTGATCTACATGCCTTCTCTCTCTACCCTTGTGTTTGTTGCTTCTCAAATAAGTTTTTAATTCCACTTTGAATGCTTCATTAAAATGTCTGCAGTGCATTTACTGTCAGTCCGTTGTGTATGGAAATATTTGAATTTTTTTTTTACTGCTTTTACAAAGGCATAATCTGTCTCTCCTCCTCAATCTTTGTTTTCATGAATGGTAATAGTTTCTATCAACTCTATCCAGTCCCCTCCCTCGTGGTTTTGCTTACTTCTGTTAAATCTTCTTTCTGCCTTCTCTTCAAGAAAAACTGCTAATCTCACCACACCAGTCTATCTTTATGAATGAAGTTGACCATCCTTAGATTCTTCTCTAACTCTGTACAATGTTCTGCCCAGAACTTTATGTAATACTACAACTTAGACTGAATTATAAGCTCCATGTAACCTCCTTGCCTTTATTAATAAATCCCAGCATGTGTATTCTTTAATCATGTCAACCTGTCTGGCTGCTTTACTGGTATAGTTCACAGATTTGGAATTCATTGATACAATGAAATCTTCTGGGTTATGGACCTAATATACACAATTAAAATATGGCATGCTGCTTTATTTTTTTGCCGCTGTTTTTATCTACTGTCAGAGGTAAGCTTGAATAGAGCTGGCGAAGCTTAAAAATGCTTAACTTTAAAACTATTGTGCTTTTGATACAGTAAAGTGGTTCCTTTAAAAGTTAGTCTGATTCCCTTTAATTTAGTGTCCAAATCAAAGTTAGGCTCTCCACACAATTAAATTGTTAACAACGATTACTGCAACTATGAGTTTGATTTCTTAAATGACAAGTCCAAATTACAAGTGATGTAAAATCAAATTTCCAGTCTAGATTGAGAATCACTTTCAGTAACTTGTGTTTGAAAGTTTAATAGTCATTTTTACTGCTACATTTCACACATATATTTGTTTTCTTCTTTGCAGTGACTTTTTTGAAAGAACCATACTTTGCAACAGTTTAGTGTGGAGCTGTGCTATTACTGGCAAACCAGGTCTGACTTACCAGGAAGCACTTGAGTCAGAAAACAAGGCGAGACAGAACCTGCAAAATTTTCCTGAGCCATTGGTGGTGCCCATCCTTCACTTGACAACTCTTGCCTGTTGCTCACGTCTCCATGAACTGTGTGATGATCTCTACGCTTATACTAAAGATCGATACTTTGCTGGAGAGATTGTGGAAGTAACCAGTAATAGTGGTCTCAAGTAAGTTTGCCTGAAGATACGGTATGTGGTAGAAGGTGAGACAACAAGGCGTAGACCTGGATGAACACAGGCCGAGCAGGAAGGCTGAAGGGTCTAGGCCCGAAACGTCAGCCTTCCTACTCCTGTGATGCTGCTTGGCCTGCTGTGTTCATCCAGGTCTACACCTTGTTGTCTCCGATTTTCCAGCATCTGCAGTTCCTACTATCTCTGATACATGGTAGAAGGTCACAGTTTCTGTGTTTAAAGGATAACTGTGTTTTTGCTCCGGATGCCTGAATTTTTTTTTTTTTTTTTTTGGTTTGCTTTAACATGTAAGCTCAATACTATCTTGCATTGCATTAACCTTTCTGTGCCTGGAATAATTTTTATCCTGAATAATAATGACCATAACTCAAGTGAGTTGTGCAAGATTTTTATTTAAATGTTGATAGGTTCTCAACTGAGTGTCTTGTTCATGTCTGTCAATACTCTATACCTGACATTCATTCTTGCACTTTTCAGCTTGTTTAATGATGGTGGACATATTGGATTTTTCTTTTGAGTCTTTCACTTATTTTCAAGACTGTAGCTATTCCTGAATGTTAGAACTGCAAACCACTAGCTTTGAACAGACCAGAATATGAATACTAACTTTTCTAGTTTGGTATCTCCGATGGTGTCCTCTGTTAAAGAGGGCGCAGTGTACACTTCACTTTCCTCCTGAGTTAAATGGTCAAGCAAAGTATAATCATGTTGTTTCAGTGCAGTAGGCACAGTGCTGGACTGTTCATAGTGTGTCATCTTTCAGATGAAATGCTGAACTTGAGTGCTGTCTGTATATTTGAAATCCCGTAACAATATAAAAAAATCAGGTGACATCCTGATGTCTTGACTGCTAATTAGCCGTCAAGCAGCACCACCTATAAATGATTTGGAACAACTTGAGGTTGTCAGCACTTTTTTTGTTTTTTTTTTTTTTTGCAACACACCCTATTTGGCTTTTGAAGTTGTTATTGGTTCCTTTCATGTCTTAAAAAGGAGGCAGATATTTAAAACAAACTGAAAGGAGGGAACATGAAAGCACTGATCTTCATGTTGTCTT